CGAGGCTGAGGTAGCCTTGTAGGCGTCCGCAGGCCCGGCGTCTCTTCTCATTATTTTCTTTTAGACTGTTGCCTCCTTGTTTCGAGACAGACAGCTGTTATATTTCTTTCAGACCTTTGTATTTAGTTTATTCTTAGTGGTTCGTGAGTAATGTGACACCAAATCTTGGGTAGAGGTTGTTTTTGACTATTCCGCGTTTTAAATTCATCATTTTAAGACAGACTTCCGCTATTGTTCTTATTAGACTTTATGTTCTATATTAAAGTTATAAACTGTTAAAGATAATTGCTAGTAATGGAAAGGTAATTAAGTTGGCTTGCCTAGCTACCACGAGTAGGCGCCATCACGACTCTAATGGTGGGAAATCCGGGTCGTGACACATACAGAGTAAAAAACTTACTTTTGATCATGTTTAGCGAGAAGACCATCACGAACCAATTTCTCATACTCCTGAATGACTAATGTAGATGTGGTCCCGAAATCAAATCATCTTCAAATGGGTGTTTCTTGTCGAATATGGGAGTCAACTTAACTGAGGTACCTATTGTTCAGTAAAGTCATGAATACAACCATTTAATTATAGATACAAGGGGGAAGAAGATCATAACTTTATAATACATTGTTTTTTTAAATAATTTACTAACCTGCGGAGTCGAAGTTTGACTCATAAGGAGAAGAATACCATCTACTTGGACGCCGATTCCTATGAGAGGGTAATGGGGTTGCATATGCTGGATTTTTTGTTGCATGATGTATAACAATTCTAGCTTCTGGAATTTGACTTGGAAGAAACTTGTACGGCAACTCAAACTGTGATACATGTACTTCTTTGGATACACATATAGGTGGTATGCTACACAGCACCTCAGATGTATTATTCCCCTCAACTATTGCTTCATCACATACAGGATTAACATCTGAATTCTGTTAATGTATACAGATGTATATGAGTGTTTTATAAAGTGGAAAATAAACATAAACACAACAACATACATGTTTCAGTTACTGTATTCTGATAATGTATATTGTATTTTCAAGTTAATGAATATTGTATTCTGTTAAGGAATATTGTATCCTGTTAAACATAAATACAACTACATATAGATTATGTTGTATGTAGCTGTATGGAACTGTAGGTTGTATGCAACTTGAAAAGACAGTATACATTAACAGAATACAACTTGAAAATAAACATAGATACAACTACATACATGTTTCAGTTTATATATATGTATTTATATAATACTGAATACTTATGTATAAGTTAAGTAACATGTATATACTTGTATTTCAAAGTATGTATGGTGTGGTATATATGATTAATGTGAATAAATAAGAAACATATAGTCTTATTATGTTTATATAAACATAAACTAACAGAGGTTAAAAACTGTTAACCTCTAAATTCTCGCCGACGGCTATATCACTCTTTGGCTGGCCTTTGGGATTATCTTGCATGTCGGCATCAGGCAACATTTGAATACCATCATCACATGTCACCATGGGCTGATCTGCTTTAATCTAGTCAGAAATCTTCTTAAAGTTTTCATTGATCAATGTTCTTAAAGACGTGAACTCGCCCATCACCTAATCAAAATATAAAAAATTAGATAGGTGTTGGAAAAATATATGATCGTTAATTTCCAAACTGTAATGTTTACTAATGACATACAAAACTCACGTAGTCTTTGAATGAATTTAGATCATTCCTCAAAGAAGATACTTCATCTGTTTTAGAATCTGCCGGCTTCTTATCATGCAACACAGTTTGATTGACTTCAGATATACCAGCATTAGGAGTCTTGGGTTTAGTCTCTTCCTCTGAGTGATCTATAATCTGCTCTTTGCGCTTCTTGTGGGGCGGAGATGAAGAAGGTCCAACACTTGCATCATATTTCTTCCCAGGCTGAAGATGTGGTGTAGGACTAAAGTCATCAGAATCATCTACATGCTTGTCTGAATGAGTATTGGTAGGACCGTTATCTACCTCAACGCCTCCCAGAGGAATCTGAATAACAGCAAACTCTACATTGCTTGGTTGGATGTCGTTGTAAACAATCTAAAAATCGAAATTGTATGTTATATACAACCTATATTTACTTTTGATCACTGTATTGAAATGTATATTGTGTACAACTGTAGGCTGTATGCAAATGGAAATTATAGTTTGTATGCAGATGAATGGTGTGTGCAGATGAAAAATCCAGGTTGTATTTAGATGTATGTTGTATGTAGATTATATTGTACGTAGTTGTATGGAACTGTAGGTTGTATGCAACTTGAAAATACAGTACTTATTCAGATGTATGTTGTATGCAAATCTCTATACTTAGCAAATATTTTATGCAAAATTAAATTTCAGGAACTTATGAAATAGTAACTTACCATGTTTCCCTGGTCTTTGAACATGCCGTTCATCAGATAAGCATAAGTCGGTTGATTGACAGTGGTTCTCCAATTGATTAATCTGGGTACCCGATTACCAAGGCGCTTTGCAATTTTGGGGTCAACCTTTGAACAGCACTCATAAAACCAAACTTGCATGGCGAGAGGCATCCCAGCTATCTTATAGTACTTCTTGTGATAATCCATTTTCTTACTAACATATCTAATAAGGTAGCTGAATGCAAAAGTACCCCATGGATACAGAGTATCTCCCACTCTCGACCAAGTCAAAATGTAGTCGTGGGATGGTTGTGGTTTTCTTCTGTGATGAAAATATCCGTGTGTGTATGAGATACAGCAATGCTATCTTGATGGCATCCCCATCGTTGTCATCACCCCATTTCTTTTCATCAAAGCATGACAACAAAGCTTCCTTTTTTACTAGCTTTGCACCGCCAAAGTATGTCTGAACAATACGGTTGGGCACCTCTGTGTTGAACTTAAATTCATGTGGGTCACCAACACATTTGAGACCAGTGACGAGCGCAAACTCCCTGATTGAGAAGGAAATTGTTGTACCATTGACGTGTATTGAAAATACGTCATTAATACTTCCTTCTAACTGCAAAACCATGAAGCACCTGAAGAGCTGATGTTGTACCTCACACTGATCCATATCAAGGAGACTTCCAAAACAAGTAGAACTCAATAGTTTATACTGTTCTGGAGTAAGCTTTTCTTTGAGATCGGATACTATATTTGTGTTTGTATATGAACAAATATGCGGTGATAATCTTGGCGGCTGTTTCACAAACAGTTTAATTTCCTGCATACAAACAAGAGTTTAAAAAATGTTTCATATTCAGCATCAATACATAAACTCATTAAGTGTTATGAATACATATAAATACAACTAGATATAATATGAAAAATACATTGGAGTAAGAAATACATGCTGGAAGTAGTTGTGTATATATATATATATATATATATATATATATATATATATATATATATATATATATATATATATATAAATACATCAACATACGAAAATCAAATTCATACCATTGAGTACAAAACAGTGAATATCTACATACAATATGCAAGGAACACTGTAATAAGTACGGAAATACAGTGAATGTAAATTTGAATACATCTAAATACATTTAAATACAACATATAATAGACTAGGTAAGCACAACTCAGTGAATGATATTGTAAATGTGCAAATGAGTTATGGATTGTTTGAATACTTATGAATACATCTAAATACATACGAATACATCAACATACAGATAAATCACATCAATAATTATGAATACATCAATGTACACATAAATCACATCAACAACTTTGAATACATATTGATACAATAACAATTACCTTTTCGTGCCGTGTATCCGAGCTTTTTTTGCATCAACTTCCTTAACCTTGACACATGAAGCATCATTCATAGGTTTTTTCCTCTTTCCGCAACTGGAATTTTTGTTTCTTTTGAAGATTTCTCAATTTGGACTTCTTTCGATTTGTCATTGTGTAATTTAGTTCTTCTCTCTAAAGCTGTAGTTGCTGATACACCTGCAAATTCCGACTCCGCTTGAGTTATTTGCAAGGAGAGAGGGCCCATCAAAATTGAGTATTTTGGTGGGTATACCTCTGGTTACCATTTTGTGTGACGTTGAATCCGATATTGGAGAGAAAATGTTGAGCAAACAATAATAATGGTTATTGTTTAAGAAGCAAACAAAAATTTGTATCCAAATCTAAGAAGCTAAATACTTGTATCAAAATCTAAGAAGCTAAATACTTACCACAAGAACTTGTATCAGAAAATAAAATCGAGATTTTAGAGAGAAACTAACTGGGGAGTGAGAATGGGGGAGACCTAGGCAATGTGGGTGGGGGGAAGAAGTCTGAATCGTGATTTTGTGGGAGAAGAGAGTAAAGTGTATCAAAAAAGAGAAAGAGAGAGAACGTGGTTTGTGAATTTTACCGTGATTATGTGAGAGAAAACCTGAAAAAGGAGAGAGAAAAATAATAATTAGCATATATGGTGGCTTAAGGGTAGGATGTAACCATAATTAGATATTTTGCTATAAAGGGTAAAAGGTAGCTATATAATATAATTTCTTAAATTGGTATTTATTTAAAATAAATAGGGTATTAAGCTTTTCTATAGGGTGTAAAATTCCTATGATAATTTAACTTTTTGGTTTCGGGTTTCCTACTTTTATATAGCAGAGAAGATTAAAATAGAATTATAAGAGTATTCTTTGCCATTTGTCAGTAAAATTTTCTCCACAAAACGCATTTTGCCTATAGAGAATTACCTCATACAAATTTGAGATAGTACTTGAATATATTATTTGCTGTAGTGGCTAAAGTTTAGTATTTCCTATTCCCTTTACGAATAAGAGAAATGAAGAGAACATATTTACAAAAAAGGAAGAGGAACACTTGGGCATTCAGAAAACAAAACACAATAGTTAACTGGAGAACTGATGTTTTAATCAAATCAAGCCATTAAAGTAATTCATGGAAGACCCCATTCTACACGTCAAAACACTCTGTAGCTACCTAATATGGCGAAAAAGGAAAAGGCTTCACAAGTATGTATCTATGAAGAGGCAGCAAATGGTTGACAACTAGAGAATTTCAGTAAGCATATTAACTGGAGTTATGACCAAAAAAAATTACAGAACTAGCTAGACAAATTATCTAATAAACTAAGGAGACGGAGGCCAAGCAACTTAGCTTGAGAATCCTTTCCCAGGAGATTCATGAACTCCTAGTCGATTTCTGTGAACTTTGTTGCACCAAAACCTTCGCAATTTGCCAGTAGTAACCAAAACAGTTCTATCTCTACGAGCCAATGTACCTATAATATTCAACTGTTGACTCACGAAAGCATCCCGATTGAGCAGCTCAAACATCTTATCAGTGATGGGAAACAAAAAGTAAGCAAGCTGTAGATATGCAGCAACCAAACAGAAACGTGTTGGTAAAAATCAACAAGCTCGCTTGTTGAATCATTTACATTGGCATAAACAATTTGCTAGTACTGCAGAGGCTGGACTCTGTCAAAACTTGAATTTACATAAACCCAGCTTTACATATTAAGTTCCCGCATCACAATTTTTATCTCTGTTTATATCTTACAGTATGTACACAAATATGAACTGCACAGATCAGAACTCTGAAACGTGAAAATAGCAGCTGCTATCAAACAAAAACAACTGGCTTCTCATGATATATGGGTCCTCCACTCGTCGTTCGTCCCTATCCCCTAGGGGTTCATTAATTTCAATATGGTATCCTCAGACGATAGTACTCTCGAACATAGAGAAATGATGAATAGTATGCAAAGACCATACTATGCAGTACCCGAAGTGAGCAGCACTTTCAAGTTGGTTGTAATTGATGACTTGATTTGCACTGCTTCTCCATGTCCATATCATAAGATGAAAGCAGCTGCCTCTGCATCATGAATAAACTATCAATTTCAGGTAAAGAAAAGCAAATAGTTACTCTGCAAGATAAGAGGACACACTAAAAGAACCAGCAGATGCCATACCCAACCGAAAGCTCAAGGTAAGAAACCATTTAAAAGCTATCAGAGATCAGAATGCAAAGAATAATGTACTTACATGATGCTCAAAATCAGGGCTTGTAAGATTGATGGAGAGGTTTCTCATCAGCAACAATACCTGGATAAGGGCCAAGAAAAAGAATGATTAAAATTCTAAATCAATTGCAGTGGCACCACCTCCTACTTAGAGCATATGATTAATCTCTTTTCTATGGTAAACATGATTTAAGATAACTGATATATATATATATATATATATATATATATATATATATATATATATATCAATCCGTGTGTATGATAAATCAAAGGCCAAACACCCGGGTGGGGTGGAAATGATCAGGGTATTGTGGATTTGGTTTTCAGGTGCATTCTATATCTTGAAAACATCCTTTATTCACATATACAGAGATGCAAAGCAAGCCCAAACACCAATTTCAAGCCTTCCAAAACTTCTAATTATTCCCTCATATTGGCATGCTAGATCAAATGCCCACATACATGTCAACAACATGCCAAAACAAGTATTCACTAACCAAATGAAGATTGAATCTGATACTCTATGAAAATCTTATATCCAGTGCTCTGATCTTTTGCAGGCAAAGAGTTGGTAGGGATACAAGGGAGTAAAGTACACTCCTTTCCTTTCCTTCTATTATCTAAAGAGGAGAACTATTCATCGCAATAAGAAGAAATTTGAAATCCCTCCGTCCCTCTTCCCTTCCTAAGTAAATGCCAGGTAGCACACATTAATTTGATGAGAAAGGCTTTGTTGTATAGAGCATAAGAGAAAATCCTCCTTGTATGCGCATAGAAATGGCAATAATTAGGCCTTCGATAAATATAATAATGAAAGCTCAGAGGAACCTATGCGGAAGCTTTATCTTCAAAAGTACACAAAGTTCAATGTACCATGCAAATAAAGGAAAACTTAAATCACAAGAAAAAGAGTTAAGCCACAGAACTAACGAAACAGCACAGATTAGAGAGTATACCGTCTCAACATCAATGCGATCCATTTTTTTCAATTTCTGCAAGTGTCCGGTAACAGCAGGGTCGAATACGCTGCCGATGAAGTTGTATACTTGAACAAAGTCAGGCAAAACTGCAGGAACAAAAAAACAATTGATAGCAACATCAGCACTGCAAATATCAAACTAAAGCATCATGTCTATTTGAAAACCTAAAAAACTGATTAGAACAGAATCTTTTGTTCTACTTACTAAAGAGAACTGTAATTCTACAGTACTGAGTGTGAAACTAACAGGAAATAGAGCAAAGGATAAAATGGCATGAAGTAAATCAGATTCAGATCTAGCCAGAACCAAAGCAGGTAGGTGCACCAGGAAGCCATCAAATGCAGCGAGGACCATAGCAGCAGATCAAATATGCTTTAAAAATGTAGGGGGAAATGCAAAGAGAAGGAATGGCTGCATATCATACTTCGCCATCTCAAGAAACATCACACTGAAATATTGGAGGAAACTTTCTGGACCAGTACTGCAACCCACGGTTCACTAAAAAACTACACATTTTCACCAGAACAAGAAGTAGATATTGTTCAATTCTCAAATATTTCTCTGGATCACAATTCAGTGACACAGATCCAGCAGCTCACAATCAGAAACACGCAAAAGATCAGATAACAAGCAGTCTTTCATCTTGCTCATTCACAATCAGATTTCTAATTTTGTACGAGGACTCAACAACTGCAGACTTTTATCAATTAATAAGAGAGATTGTTAAGGCGAGTGATTTTCACAGACAAAAGGAGTGAAGTTCACACTGAAGAAGAAATTCATGCTGGAACACATTAAGTCTAGTGGTGAAAGGACAAACAATAAAATAGGGGAAGAGAAGATTTCAGGTACTTACAAATTGAAGCCAGTCCACTAGGTTTTAAAATAATAAAGGGAAAAGTTTCAAATTTGCCCATGTACTATTAGAAATTGAGCAACTTTACCGTCCATTAAACTTTTGGTCTAATATTATCCCCGCCTTTAGGGAAAAGTCTCATTTTTCCCCTTGACCCCTAACAGACCCAAACTTAGGGTGATGTTAAACCATAGTTAAAAGTTAAGTTTGGACCTTTTCTTCGAAAGCATTTGGACGCGTAAAGTCCACCCATTTCACGTTGGAGCTCTGTTAATGGCAAAAGCAAATACAAAATAATTTGCAAATGGCAACAGTATGAATTAGCCAAAAGCATCACGAAGGGCAAAATTCAGCATTTTCGGATAGTACATGGGCAAATGTGCACCTTTTCCCCAAAAAAATCACTCTTGGAGCCAAGGAATAGAGGCTGGAATGATGATAACCTAACTAGAGATCTAACAGAGAAATGCTTGGTTGGCAATCAATATGACAGTGCAATCATAATAACACTGATTGAAGCTGAGATCTTGAAGAAGAGCTTTTTAAGAAAGGAGATGAAGATACTCGATATCCCGGCTACAAATGTAATCAGGATTGTGGTAACTGCAACTACGCAAGGTGGCCAGTTTTAAGATATGCTGCACAGCTTTCGCACCTTATGCAGGTATTAGACCACTGGGGCGGTGCTTACCAAAAGTATTTGGTCAACACAACAAGACTCTGCCCAATCACATATTATATCCTTACCAAGAGTTTCAGCAATAAAATCTTGATTTTTAAAAGAAGTAAACTCAGAGATTTCCACTCTGGGAAAAGACAATGTAAGTAATTAAACAAGATATAAGAAACCCAAGGCATGTTCAATTTCCAGGATAATTTTGTCTCATGAAAAGATCCGGCCTTTAAGTTGATTAACTTCATTTTCTTCCAATTGTGTTGGTCGTCTTGTCAAAGATATTTTTGCCAATCTATCCTTTAGGACTTTTATCGTGCCGTTTTATTCTCCATTTTGCCATGTTATGGCCAAGTCAAGAATTTTGGGCTGCAAGTCAAGAGTCTTGCCGACAAGTTTTGGATAGCAAATGCTGCAAGGAATATTGTCAAAAGTTCTGGAACAGCTTGTCCTCCAAGCACCACTTGGTTTCCAAGTAACTCCCCCGTAAAAGGCATATGTATCATAATGTTCAATTAACTTTGAAAAAGAATGTCTCAGAAATACAATGTTCCTGTTCACCTCTTCATGTCCTTCTCAACCTCTTCCCTCCTCTTAGTTCTCTCAATTTTGGCTCATGAATTCTCCTTTCTTTCTTTTTTTGGTTGGTAATAATCATGAATTCTCCTTTCTGAACTTCCTCATTATCTGTCCAGTCTAGAAACAGGACTTCTGTAACTTATCAGTTCATATCAGGCTCGCTCTGACTTTCAATTCCATCGGTCTAACCTTTAGAAAATAACAAACTTTTCTAAGTTGTTCTCTATTGATTTAGAATCTTTATTGCAGAAGGTTAAAGAATCTATATATCAATTAGTTTTATTTTGGGTTTTTGTTGGGGAAAACCTTTTTATATTGAAAGCTTTTCTATGTTTTCCAAAACTGGGCAAGTAGAGAAAATTGTAGATCACTCTCAAAGTCAGGATATGGTGCAGCTTAAGGTTATTATTGGTGCTCTGTGCACATGGGTTTGTCTGCAATCACAAATATATACTCTCTAAGCAGTTGCCAACATCTACTGAAGCAATCCATGCAAGGTAAAGACATTTAACAAAAATGAGGTTTTCCCACATTGAACCTGCCACATCTCCTTTACTTGCTAATATCAAGATTTGCAAATTTAATAAAGTGCAGGAAACATTGCTCGACTAGACTTTTTGAATTCCTTTACCTCCATAAGGGACAAAGCAACATCTAGGAGTACAGATTGCAACAATAAACTATCCTTCAATCTCCCATCTTTTCAGTTAGGATTTTGGAAGCCAAGGGATGTTAGAGATGAGTGAGTAGAAACCTCTGTAACACAGACTTTCCGCCCTTACGGGCCAATTCGACTGTCTGTAAGTAATTTGTAGGCTACATACAGCGTTTGTCTAGCTTTAGCGTATTTCATATCAGACACCTCAAATATGAGTACAAAGACCCAATATAGATTAGCTAGAATCTAATTTGTGGATAGCATAACTTGACGAGATAAAAGTTTATGCAACAATTGTGCTCTAGTTATTATCAATACTTGGAGCAAATTAAATTGCATGACTCAACTTCATTCTAGTTATTATCAATATCTCAACTGAATTAACAACTTCAAGTAGGTCAACCACCTCTGTAGACACCAAAGGACAAAATATTGATTGAATACCGCAAACACCAAAGAAGACAAAATATTGAATACTACAGTTTTTTCAGCTATAGACCACCAATAAGCAGATGCACTGCCCAGGCTTTTAGCTTTTTTCATGTGATCAGTACAGCACCCAGACTTTAAATTAAGTAGATATCAATTTTAAAAGCATGGGATAGAGTGCATATTTAGCTAGCAATTTCATTACAGATTAGAAGTAAATAATTATAAACACGTTAAAAATAATTCGGAGTTTGGAACCAAAGTACTTGAAAATACAAATGTTCTTCTTTGACTCATAAAACAAAGGAGGAAAAAAAAGTTCTTGAATATATGTTGTGAGAGCCTCAAAGCAAATCCACCTTTCTTCTTCATCTGTGTTATGGAGATTGGTCATCATAAACATAGTTCACATTCCTTACATCTCTTACGTTTGGTATAAACAAGTACTATAGAACACAGTATAAGACACTAAGAAAAAAATATCGCTATGGTGTGGACACTTAAAAGAGTGCTATGACTTTTCAATTTATATGTATTCATATGTATAACTTTTTGATGGATCTAGAGGATCTGATAGTGACAAATTATTTGTTAACTTATAGATAGTACGATATGATAATAACTTGCAATGTGATCAAGTATACTTAACCAATACACAATAGGCATTACTAACTCATATGAAACAGATTCGGTTTATCTAGAAACTTTTCTTCCCATGAAGAGACACCACATTATATTCTTTCGAGAATTGAGATGAAATAAGAGTAACTTGTAGAAGAGACTCCACATTCATTAGAAAGAAAGAGAAAAAGGAGACCCCATACTGATCAAAATGAAAATATCAAAGAAAAACAAAGAAATTTAGAACCATCAAAAATGACACAGAACACTTCAAGAGAATGGTAGAGAGAATTACAATGGTATGTTATTGTAGGATAATATTTTACAGCCCAGAATTTTGTCTAATTTTCTAAAAGTCAACATGATAGGTTGATAGTTTTGTCATTCTGGGCTGATAATTTCTATCTTTTGAAATCCTTGCATCTACTTGATGCCTTAGTTAATGATATCCGACTTATTTCATCAAAAAAAAAAAGTCAACATGATAGGTATCTGAAGAATATCAACTTGCCTCTCAATGAAGGTCCCTGAGTCCGCTCCATCACTTCATCTGTTGATTTTGATCCTGGAGTGCTTTCATTGCTACTGCAACAATGAGTATTGGCCACAGGTTGACCTGGTTCTCTCACATTATCTATAACAGAAGAACAGACAATTACTTTAGTGCAACGTCTAAGACGCGATGGACGTGAGACAACAGCAATTAAACAAAAGTGAGCCCATCAATAACTAGACCTTTCTTCATTTGGGACAAATTGACTGGTGACACAGAGTTGTCAGTCCATGATGGCATAGATGCAACAGTAACTGGATTGCTAGGTAACAAAGAAGTATCAGGCCTTGTTACAAATCCAGGATCCGGTAATGGAAGTGAAGCTTGAAATGATGCAGTCACCGGTGAGAGAGCTGGAGCTGCCGACATATTCAGAAAGTGAATATAATTATTTCCAGGTACAGGTAGTCGTAACAAAATTAAACCACATACAAATGATTCCTACCACTTTTTGAGGCTTTCTGAGGGTAAGGATGAGCAGCTTTTCTTTTTGGCCGAGGAGGAGGTAGATGTTCATTGGTTCCGCTCTTCTGGACCTTCAGAAAATATTTTTGAGCATGGCTACGTATCTGCAAAAAGTGATCAAACTTTTTAAGACACGCTCTGGACCCGTCTCCAAAGATTCATGTATAACGCAAAACCAAAAGTATTGCTTTTGATTCGGTTCCCCTCACTTGGTCTCGGTTTTTAAATTTTAGATACGCAAGCTTCACAACCACCTGAATATGGTTTCATTTTTACAATTCGATTCTTTTGGTTTTGGCTCTGATTTTGGCTTGTGTTTGGGCATCATATTTGGATTGAGGATTCTATTTGATTAATAAACAATATGATCATATTAAGTTTGAAAGGCTATTGGATAATAGGGCAATAAAAGGGAGGGTAAACAAAACAAGTAACTAAGTGAGACAACAACAACAACAACAACAACCCAGTAAAATCCCACGAGTGGGGTCTGGGGAGGGTAGTGTGTACGCAGACCTTACCCCTACCCCGAAGGGGTAGAGAGGCTGTTTCCGAAAGACCCTTGGCTCAAGATAGGTAACTAAGTGAGAAAGATAAAAATTAGCAGCGCCTTGTCCCAGCCCAAAGAAAGAAAATGAAAAGAATCAAAACAAAAAACAAATCACAAAGACCCATATACTAAAACATCTACTGGCTTTTGTGGGGAATCACTCGTGCCACAGACATGACAGAAAATCAACTAGTATATGTGGGTGAACGTTAAATCCCATTGGATTTTCAAGCAGAGGAATATTTGATGGGTTCCTTTTTTAATTGCTAAAATAGTTGATGGGTTCTGGAGTAGCAGCCTTTGTTGGTGGCAGTTTGAAAAGCTAAAAAAGGAGAAATCTGCTCACAATGATATTCAATCTGCCCTTCTGCAGAAATGCATCTGGGTATTTGCTGCAGTACTATATTGGTACTGTTTCTTAACGAAACGTCCTTATAAAAAAAGACGATGCATCTGCTCTCCCAGATCCTTTGGAACATATGAAAGAATTGAAGACATAGGGGAAAGCTGGAAGAAAAAACTATGAGAGAGAAAAGAATGGCTGACCAAAGATGTGAAAGGCCAAAACTCTTCTATACGCACATAAGTTCTACTCTTCGGTTCAGTTAGTCCTTTTATCTTTTTCAAAAGCAGAAAATCGATTAACAATACGAACCAAATAAACCAAAAATTTTGGTTTGGTCGGTTTTCCAGTAAAAACCAAATAGTGCACCCCCTAAAGCTTATGTTAGCACAAAGAGATTTAGTGCACTTCACTTCATTCAAGAAAAGAATGGCTGACCAAAGAAGTGAAGGTCCAAACTCTTCTATACACTGATAACTTCTACTCTTCAGTTCAGTTAGTCCTTTTTTTATTTTTCAAAAGCCGAAAATCGAACAACAATATGAACCAAATAAACCAAAAAATTTGGTTTGGTCGGTTTTCCAATTAAAACCAAATAGTGCACACCCTAAAGCTTATGTTAGCACAAAGAAATTTAGTGCACTTTGTTTCATTTAAGTAAACAACTAGATCTAATCAAAAGCCACTAAGGCTTCAGAAAGTCGCTTTTAGCCTCTACTAGCCTATATTCCTTATAACAAGTGATCTATCAGCAGTATCAACTATCAAAAGGCAGAACCCATTATAACTTCATACCAGACAAACACTCCTGCCACAACTGTAAAAGATATGCACGGTGATCCTAAGAAGTTAAAAGTACTTGAAACAATCAGGATAAATCTTTAGTCACTTGGTCATCCATTTTATCCACACAAAAAAAAACTATTAATTTAGGAAAATGATAGTTAATGGTGTGAGCTCATCATCTCCCTATTAGTCATACCTATAATGACATTTCCACTTTCCTATCTTTGTGACTTAAACCTCCAACCTAATGTTGGGCTTTTTCCACAAGACTATCCCTCACTTGTTGATTATTTGCCATGTTATATTGGTAAAATTAACAGTTAAACAGGATATAGTTAACTCGGTGGTTCATTATAATGGTTAACTCGATGACAGTAACCAGTCAGTATAATAAGATGTGCATGTGCTAGGCTAACCTGATATTACCTGAATAACAGTTTTTGATCCAACAAACGCTTCAATCTTTTTCCAGTCCCGGTCGAACCTGTATGTTAACAAAACAGGTAATCAGTAAAAAGACAAACTCTTAACTCAAATGAGACACCTAATTCTTTTTGTTCTAGAATTGAGAAAATATTGGCAATAAGCAAAGTATTCACACTCACTAAAATGAAGCTATTTCGTTGGCAAACAAGACTAACCACTTCCAATAAAATGTTGAAAATATATTGACGAGAATGGAATCGCATTCAAATTCACATAACAATCCTTATATCAACTCAAATTAAAAACTCAAACTTTCAACCCTAAACCCTAGTTAAGAAAATAATAATGAAATAGAATTTAGCAATAGAAATTGTTACGAACTCACAGTTGAAGAGCTTCAAGGAACTTATCGTGCTCGGGTTCGGTCCAGCTTTCGCGAGACTTGGTAATGGTGTAGGGTTTTCGAATTTTCTTTGACGGATCATCGGAAGGCGATAACGGGTTGGAGGCCGACGCAGTTGCGGCGGTGGAAGCGATGGCGGTTGGGTTGGAGAAGGAGCCAAGATTAGGAAGGGCCATGACCATGGGATTCAAGCGGGCGGGTTGGAGTTCATGTGATGTTTAAGGCTAGCTCCTATAGACCTATAGGCTTTGTTTCGTTGCTGGTTCGGCTTTTTTGGTGTAAAGCAGATCCTGTTAATTATGCCAAACAAATTTTTTTTTTTTTTTCGCGACAGCCAAACATATGGGCTAAAAATACCCTTCACCCACTTTATTGGTTCACTTATGCCCTTTGATCGTTAGGTTAATGCTAAATTAAAAATAATTATTAATTTTTTTGTAAAATTTAAAAAAATATATATATTTTACAAAATATTTTCATTTTTTTTAAACTAATGCACCAATAGTCCACTAATTTAGTATAGTCTTCTTCTTTTTTTTCAGTTTTTACAAAAAATAATTTTTTTTTCATTTTTTTCAGTATTTTAAAGCATTTCTTTTTGTAAAAACTGAACTTCTTTTTTGTAAAAACAGAAAAAAAAATGTTTTTAATAAAATATTTTCGTTTATTAAGAAAAAATATTTTTTTCAGTTTTTTTAAAGCATTTCGTTTTATTTTCTTTTTTCAGTTTTTTTTAAAGACAAAATATTTTCGTTTTTTTAAAAAATTGAAAAAAAGAAAAAATATATTTTTCAAAAACAAAAATATTTTGTTGAAAATATTTTTTCAGTTTTTAAAAAACGAAAATATTTTATTGAAAACATTTTTTTTCAGTTTTTACAAAAAAAAATGCTTTTAAAAAATTGAAAAAAATATTTTTTTGTAAAAACTGAATTGTTTTTTTATAAAAACAAAAAAAAAAGGAAAAAGAAGAAGACTTTACTAAATTAGTGGACTACTGGTGCATTAGTTTAAAAAAACGGAAATATTTTTTTTTAAGTTTTACAAAAAGAATAATATTTATTTTTAATCCAGCATTGACCTAATGGTCAAAGGGCACAAGTGAACCAAAAAGGTAGATGGAGGAGTATTTTTAGCCTAATAGGTGGATGAAGGTTTTTTTTTAACCTTTTCCAATAGTTTAGGGGTATTTTGAACTCTTTTCCGAAATCTAATTAATAATGCATGAGAGTACCAAGAAATTTGTAATTGAATTCCATCTGTCTTTGTAGGGCCAGTAAGTAGGAAAGATTTGGTGAAGCCACCCACCAACTTTCACAAACTTGCAAACATAGCTCAATCCTGTCATTTTCTCCCTCGTGTATATATTAGCCTACCAGCTGATATAAGTATTAACAATACTACTTGATAATGCCTTGTCAATTATATTCGGCTCCATTGTCTTTATCTTTCTTGTTGAAGAAAGCGTTCCCCTCTCTCTCGCGCGCGCGAGAGATAAAGGCCCGTTTGGCCACAGATTTTGCCAAAATAAATTTGAGTTTTATTTGGCAAACGCATGTTGGTCATGGATTTGCTATACTTTGGCAAAATCCCAAGTTCCAAATCTCAAATCCCACAACCAGCTCAATAGCTGGTTTTGGCTCAAAATATTTACAAACACTAATAATATACATATTTTTCCAAAATAAATTTGGGAAATATGTTTTAGAAACAGATGTCCATATACATTTTCATCTTCAAACTAAATTTCACTCAAATCAGATTTTTCAAAACAAATTTGAAAATCTATGGCCAAACGCTAGCAAAAGAGTTTTAGTTTCCTAACAGATTTGTCCACTAATAATAGGAATAGGCCGATACATCTTCAAATTATCTGTGCATATCCGATCCAATCATTTAGCCGCTCTTCTCTCTATGTGTGTGTATATACAAACATATATTCTATACAGTTAACCTAGAAATTTCTTTGAGTATGAGATAGAAATAGAGGTAGGTCAAAACTCAAAAGTATTGCCGTGATTATCTATCAGTCAACAAACATAGAAACGACTCAGCTGATAAATAAAGGAACAAAAAAAGTCAAACAGACTATTTGGTCAGAAGACCAATGAAATTTAGATTTACCACCGTTGTGTTTCAAATTAGCCCTTTCAAACATTGAATTTTTTTCTTTTTCTAAGAAACCCTTTGAATCAAAACAATGCGTGCAGCAGGGATCGAAGGATAACAAATCATCCATGTTTACCTTAAACTAATCAAAGTTAAGCAATCAGAGTACGTTCAACTTGAATTTAATAATGAATATAGGCTGAAGCTTGATCTTTTCTTATACATCAACTGACATATATGTTTTATGTTTGACTAAAACTAACAGTCAAACATAAAACGTATATATCCGCCTAAGTTTTGTAGGAAATGGGCTGGAATATTAATTATTAAAGTAGAGAATTAGATACATTAGCCACTTGGTAGTTAGGTTAGTTAGTAAGGGGTATTTTAGTCTTTTTACCCTTCTTACCGGGCTGTGCATAATTTGGTAAATGCCGAATTTACCGTACCGAAACCGAAGGTCTTTGGTAAACAGTATTTTGGTATTTGGTATGGTATTTGGTTTAAGTTTTAAAAAAAATTAGTATTAGGTATGGTATTTGGTATTTTAAAATAAAATACCAAAATACCGATACCGTACCGAAATATATATTATATTACACAAAACATATATTATCAATTATAACATAAATATAAAAAATCTAAAATTTTACTTTCCTTTATTCTCTAAGTTCATCAATTAACTCTAAACAAGTAACAAGACATTTCTAATGATCAAATATTCTTTTATGTACAATTTTCTCTATTTGGGTTGATATTTGCTAGTTTTGGACAAAATTTTTGTCAACAAACATTTTCAGTTTTGTATTTTTGAGTACTTTAATTAAGAATATTAGAGTCTATGGCTCTATGCACTAGTTAGTATTCAAACCGAATAAACCAAAACCGAAAGGAGAAANGATTTTAATAATTTTGGTTTTTTTTTTTTTTGGTTTTTAAAAAATCAGATTTCTTATCGCTAGAGAGAATTGATGTCCACACCACCCAGGGGTGTGGTGGGATCAATTGGATCTACATCTTTAAGGAGAAATCCGCCGTTTTGCTTAATGGCCCACACTACATGAATATGAATTTATTGGATAAGTAGGGTGCAAAAAGGTTAGAGGAATTACATATTCCCTTACCAAAAAGGAGTAACTTACATCTTCACTATCTAACGTGATTCTTCTCTCTGAATTGTTATTTTTTCAAATACGGAAAAGGGTTCAAAATGCCCCTAAATTATTGGAAAAGGTTTAAAAATACCCTTCATCCACCTATTGGGCTAAAAATATCCCTCCATCCACTTTTTTGGTTCACTTATGCCCTTTGACCGTTAGGTCAATGCTAAATTAAAAATAATTATTACTATTCTTTTTGTAAAGCTTAAAAAAGTTGCAAAATATTTCTTTTTTTAAACTAATGCACCAATAGTCCCACTAATTTAGTCTTCTTATTTTTTTCAGTTTTTACAAAAAACAATTAAGTTTTGACAAAAAAATATATTTTTTTCATCTTTTTTAAAGCATCTTTTTTTTGTAAAAATTGAATTTTTTTTCTAAAAAACAGAATTAATAAAATATTTTCGTTTTTTAAAAACTGAAAAAAATATTTTCAACAAAATATTTTCGTTTTTTGAAAATAATTTTTTTTTTCAATTTTTTCAGTTTTTTTAAAGCATTTCGGTTTATTTTCGTTTTTCAATTTTTTTAAAGAAAAAATATTTTTGTTTTTTTTAAAAACTGAAAAAAAAAATTCAAATTAGAAAATATTTTGTTGAAAATATTATTTTCAGTTTATAAAAAAACGAAAATATTTTATTAAAAAAACATTTTTTTTCTGTTTTTACAATTATTTTTCAGTTTTTACAAAAATAAAATGCTTTAAAAAAACTAAAGAAAAAAAATATTTTTTTGTAAAACAGAAAGAAAAAAAAGAAGAAGAAAATTCTACTATATTAATGGACTACTGGTGCATTAGTTTAAAAAACAAAAATATTTTGTAATATATTTTTTTTTAATTTTACAAAAAGAATAATAATTATTTTTAATTCAGCATTGACCTAACGGTCAAAGGGCATATGTGAACCAAAAAGGTGGATGGAGGGGTATTTTTAACCCAACGGGTGGATGAAGGGTATTTTTAAACCTTTTCCAATAGTTTAGGGGCATTTTGAACCCTTTTCCGTTTCTTTAACTCTTCTATTTTTTGTCCTTTTGACAAACAAATCTCTCTCTCTTTATATATAAAACACGAAAGTCTTTAGCAAAATTTCGTTCACTTTTTTTACCCTTTTAAAATAGAGTTCACACTAGACAAAATAATAATTTGACTATTCTCTTAGCTAATATTTAGGAGTTTTAATTTAAATTGGATTTATTACTTATTAATATTTTCTTATTTGAATTAAGTAAGAAGTACTTATAACTAGGACTTTTAAATCATTAACGTTTTACCTTATATAAATTTTACAATTAAAGTATGATTAAAATAACATCAAATCTTATGCGTATGAATTTTCTCCACTTGAGTTTTAGTGCAAAATAGATTGTACAATTGTGCTAAATTTTAGGTAAAAGTTTATGATGTAAACGAAAATAAAATAAAGAAAAAATTAAAGAAAGAGGAAGCATTTTGCTTTGTCCTTTATCCCAAATCAGTAATTAACCTAGAAATGTTATGAAGTCTATGTGAGATTGGTCAACTAACTATTAATTTTATTCTTTGCTCAGTAATTTATTTATATATAAATATTAATATAAATTCTAAAACATAATTAGAAAAATAATTACAAAATATAAATAATAGCAAGATTAAGAGAGAGAAAAAAGTGATTGACAAAAGCCATTTAGTAACACTAAGACAAATATAAAATACAAAAGTTCGATTTTTATCATTTGACAAAAGATTTTTTGTGGATAAAAGTATAGTTATCATTAAATACTTAATATATGTTATGAACTAATATTAATAATTTGAATCCACAAAAATAAATTATTCTTTAGTAATAAAAAAAGATAATTAAGTATTTAAATTAAAAGAAATCATAATATGAAATAAAATTAGTTATAGTATTAATAATTAAATTTTTAAAAGGCAAACTTTTTAAGAAATAAGGATGAAATAATAGAAGACAAAATGTATTCATAAAGAGATGTCAGCTGAGACACAATTTAATATAGTTGTATGTTATATTACTCCCTTTATTTCATTTCGGATGATACATTTTGCTTTTTGAGAATTAATTTAAATAAACTTTGAAACTAAATTAGATTAGTTCAACTTAATATTTTAAAATTCAAAATTCAAATATTCAAAAAATCTAGAACAATTGCTATAAGTTACAATTTCTCATGTCAATATAATAAAAAAAAATATTTTAAAATGTTGGTCAAACGTTACATAGTTTGACTCTCGATAAGCGAAATGTGTCATGTAAATTGAAACGAAGGGACTATAAGATACGCATAATTGTAAAATAATATATAACTAATTTAACTAAATTCATCATCTATGCATATTTAGAAGATATTGAATACAACTACTATGTTACAACAACAACAACAACCCAGTAAAATCCCACTAATGGGGTCTGGGAGGATAGTGTGTACGCAGACCTTACCCCAACCCTGAATGAGTAGACGCTGTTTCCGAAAGACCCTTGGCTCAAGAAAATAAAAAGATAAGAGGACAAAAGGAAATAATATTAGTATCACCACAGAAATCATAGGGAAAATAGGAACAACATGAAATCCAGAAGAAAGATGCAAAGCAAAAGCGATAGTTAGTAAATAGGTCCTGCACTAAAAAGCGAAACAGTAAGACACAACATTGCCACTAGCTGTCTTAGAAAAAAACCCTACTTGGCTAGTCCCACAATGGTACGAAGTAAGGCAAGACTCAACTACCTCCTAACCTACAACCACAATACTCGACATCCACATCTTCCTATCAAGTGTCATGTCCTCGAAAATCTAAAGTCTCGCCATATCCTGCCTGATCACCTCTCCTCAATATTTCTTAGGCCGCCCTCTACCTCTTCTCGTGCCCTACAATCACTATGTTAGTGTGAGAAAAATTATTTTCATCATTTAAACAAATGTTACATTTTATTTTAACATTAATGTATATATTTTTAATTGAATAAACACTATGCATACATATACTAAAACTAGTGCCACTGAAAAACATTGCAAATGCTAAATCTATAAAAAAAAAAAAAAAAAATATGTTTGAGATAGAATTACTGAATAATAAATAGCGATGTGTTTGGTAAAAAAACATTAATAAAGTCTTTATTTTATATATAAGTCAAATTTGAAAGTATCATCTATATATATATATATATA